CAAAAAGCTGTTCGCATTCTGCTCTGATTGGGCAAGTCAGATCCCATTGGTCTGTAGTCATGTTCATTTCTCCTTAATCCTTGCTGATTTTCTGTCTGTCTGCTCTGGAAGAGAGGTTTTGATGTCTCCAACTACAATTCTGGACTTGTCTATTTTTCCTTCTAGTTCTGTCTTCACAAATTTTGCTTCATGTATTGGAAGCTGTGTTGTTAGGTCCACATTTAGGAATATGTCCTCTTGGTGAGTTGACCCTTTTATTATCAATTTTCCCCTTTATCCATGATAATTTTCTTTTCTCTGAAGTCTGCTTGATCTGTTGTCCATATGGGCACCCCAGTTGTTTTGATTTCAGCTTGCACTGTATCTTTTTCCATCCTTTTAACACAAACCTACGGATATTATGTTTGAAGAGAGTTTCTTGTAGATAGCACATAGGTGGGTGATTTTTAAAAAATCCATTCTGATAATTCCTGTATTTTAATTTAGACTACTTACATTTAATGTAATTATTGATACATTTGGATTCAGACCTACCATTTTAATTTTGTTTTTTCTCTTGCATTTTTTTATCCTTCTGTTTCCTCATTCTTGCTTTTGTTTTGGTTATTTGAACACTTTTTCACATTCTATTTTAATTTATCTATTGCATTGTTGATTATATCTTTAAAAGCCTTTAGTGGTTTCCCAGCAATTACAATATGCATCCTTAACCTTTCGCAGCTTACTTAGAATCAGTATTTTGCCATTTCAAGTGCTTTATAAAAATCCTACAACCATGGAGGCCCCTGTGCTTCTCCATTCTTTATGTTGTCTTGCGTTCAACACCCACACATGCTGAAGACTTAGTAAGACAATATCACATATTTGCTTTTAATCATCTAACATATTGTACAGAACCAAAGTGGAAAAGAAGCCTATTACCCTGTTCCTTGCTCTTCCTGCCTCAGTTTTCCTTACATCTGAAAACCTTTTTCAGCCACTGTTTGAGGGAATGTTTGCTGATAGCAAATTATCTTAGTTTTTCTTTATCTGAGAATGTCTGTATTTCATCTTCATTCCTGAAGGATATTTTTTCTGTGTATAAAATTCTGAATTAATGTTCTTTTCTTTCCACACTTAAAAAATATTCCACTTCCTTCTGGCCTCCATGGTTTCTGAGGAGAAATCTTTAGTCATTCCAATTGCCGTTCTTTTGTAAGCAATACAGTGTGTCATTTTTATCTGGCTGCATTAAAGCCAGATATTTTTTCTTTAGATATTTTAATGTCTTGGGTTTTCAGAAGTCTGAGTGTGAGATGTCTGAGTGTGGATTTATTTAGCTGTTTCCTGTTTGGAGTTTGTTAGCTTCGTGGGCCTGAGAAGGAGAAAAGTGTACAGGCAGAAACCCCAGACCAGACCTGTCTGCAGAGATATGTGTGAAGGAATTTAGACTTCTGCAAAAAGCAGCTGCAGGAGCCCCAGTGGGCTAATTTTTCTTTTCCAAGATACAGCTCAGTCAGTTTGGCCAAGTAAATGGGGGAGACGACAGAAGTCCCAGGTTCCGGGTATGTGCTGTAGCTCCCACGGGTGCCAGTCCTTGGCTCCTGTGGTGGGTGTGGCCATTCTTCCCGGGTCCCTGGGACCACATGTGGTGACTTGAAGGGCTTGAGTTAGGAATGACCCCTTTTCTCCTCACTGATCTGGAAGGAGGCAGCTTTAAACAGATAAAGTCAATGGGCATCACGTTAGTCAACTTCCCACGGATGCCTCCAAACGCTGGGGCAGTTTCTGCCCCAAGAGCCTCTGCAGGGGGTGAGGCAGGGCTGGGGGGAGGTGGGCGAGGCCTGCAGCAGTGGTGTGTGGTGAGCTGGCACAGGGGTGTAGGGCGGGCCAGCTCACATGGGACAGGGGTGGGCTGGTGGCAGCATAAGGTATTCCCCCCACAGGTGTGAAGCACGGATGCTCCTAAACTAGGGTCACGTGACGAGGACGTGAGGGCCTCTGAGGATTCGCTACCTGTGTTTGAGGTAATTTATTCGATTATAAGTTTATATAATTTGATTTTTTAAAAGATTTTATTTATTTATTTGACAGACAGAGATCACAAGTAGGCAGAGAGGCAGGCAGAGAGAGACGGGGAAGCAGGCTCCCCGCTGAGCAGAGAGCCCGATGCGGGGCTCGATCCCAGGACCCTGGGGTCCTGACCTGAGCCGAAGGCAGAGGCTTAACCCGCTGAGCCACCCAGGCGCCCCTATAGTTTGATTTTTCAATAAAGCTGTGTTTAGCATCCAGGTGTCTAAATTCCTGAAGACAAGCTAAGTCCATGTGAGCTCTGGCACGCCCTGGGGTGTGGCTGCGGTCGTGGGAAGACCATCCTGAGGCTGGGGGTGAGCCCCGGTTGCAGGACAGAGCTGCTGGGGTGGGTGCGCCTCGGAGGGAAGCTGGGCCCAGGGGCCTCAGGCCTGGCTCCCGGTTGCTGCTGGGTGGGGACTTGGGGCCTCCTCTGCTGCTTGGTGACTCACTGGGTCCATAGCGAGATCTAGGTCACTCACTTTCTCGTGACTCACAGGTTGGCTGCTGCTGTCTCCAGGCTACTTCACATCTGAGGGACATGGTTTCATGCTGACTGTCCCAGTGCCTCTCGGAGGCCCCAGTCCCTCTGTGCCATCTGGCCAGCTCCTAACAAGAGCAGGACAGGTTTGCATAGGCCAACTTTCTGAGGACGTGAGGATTGCTTGGGAGTGAGCTGTCCCTGGCCATGAGGCCCCGAGCAAGGTGGGGCCAGGGAGTACCAGGACCAGGAACCAAGAGCTTCAGACATTCTGATGCCATCACAGGTCACTCACTGACCACCAGCCTCCTCCCTATTCATTCACATTTCTACAACTCTCCTGCGCACCTGCTGGGGTCCCTTTCCCCTTGGAACATGAACGGGCACACTGAGGGACAAACTATACTCCTAACCGAATCCTCCTGGCCACAGGTGGTCAGTGCCGTGGGGCGGGGGCACATCCCTGGGCAGCCTGGTGCACAGGGAGCAGCCTTCACATCGGAGCCTCCTGGAGCATCGAACCGATGTCAGCATCACCCAGCAAAAGCCCTGGAAACATTTCCACTGAAAGTTCTAGTCTACCTTTATTTGCTGTACATTTAAAACAATTGATCTACAAGGCATTCTCATGTCATCTTAGCTAGCAAAATATTTTTGATCAGTACACCCAATCCTGGGAAGTTATTTTCGTAGTAATCCCGCATCGGACAACAAGGGTTAGCGTCCTGGTTCTGTGAGTTTGGGCGGGCTGCTAGGCGGTCCTGGCGGGGAGAGAAGCCGCGCTCGCCGGGAGGTTGTTGAAGGCGTGAGTATTTGAGAGAAGAGCATGGGAGCTGATTATTGCACAGGACACAGGAGCACATTTCTCTCTTTTTCTTTCTTTTTAAATTTATTTATTTATTTGACAGACAGAGAGAGAGAGATCACAAGTAGGCAGAGAGGCAGGCAGAGAGAGAGGAGGAAGCAGGGTCCCTGCTGAGCAGAGAGCCCGATGTGGGCTCGATCCCAGGACCCCGAGATCATGACCTGAGCCAAAGGCAGAGGCTTTAACCCATGGAGCCCCCCAGGCGCCCCTAAAGGAGCTCATTTCTTAACTTGAGGACATCTTTCAGCTTATGAATTTTCTGGGTGTTGGGAGCAATGGAGGGGAGTTGGGCTGTCTCCCTGTACACTGGGAGAACCCTGAGACCTGCCGTGGGTACAGCCCTGGCTCCCTCTCCTCAGCCTGAAGAAGGAAATGGCTGGGATTGGCTCAGGCAGCCATGGGGGACAGGGCTCCTGTGTCGCAGGGGAGGGCCGCTCTCTGGGTTACTGTGTCTACGTGGGCAGGCCAGGAGGGTCTCCATGGACAGGACGCCTCAGCCCATCACTGGGGTGGAATGCCCTCGTCCCATTGAGACCCGTGGCCCCTGCTCCAGGCCCCACGCTCTGGAATTCTCCATTTAGAGATTGTCTGATTGGCTTCCATCACCCCTTTGACTATAGGCTCAGGAAAGCAGGCCCCTTGCTTTCTCTCTGTCATGGATCATTCCCCGTGGAATAGCCCAGCCCCCTCCGCTGCCCCCACCCCAGCTTCTCTCTGTGGTCCATTTGCTTGGATGTTAGGGTCTCTCCTGCTTCCTCTTGAGGCTTCTCTCCCCAGAGCCCCTTCCACTGACGCCCACAGCCCGATCTCCACAGCGAGCTTCCTTTCCCCTGAGGAAGCGGCTGGAGCCCTCAGAGCTGAGGCTCTGCTGCAAAGCCGTGGACGGTCCTTCAGGAGCCCCGGCTGAGTGTGGGAGGCCTGCTGGAAGCCATCTGCGGCCTGTGCAGGCCAAGAGACCCTGCCCCTGACCACAGCTTTCCGCGGAAGTTGAATGCTTCATGGGATGATGCCCAGACTCTGTGATTTGGAAATGGTTTGGGAAACTGGGAGAGGGTGGCAGACTTGTGACGATTTTGGAGTCTGGTTATCTGAGTTTGGTCCTTTGGGCAGAAACCGGGAGACTGCCCTGCCTGCTCTGCTCCAGCCACGGATCTGGAAGTCACGACCGGGAGGGGCACCGAGCCCCCCCCCCGCCCCCGCTCAGCTCAGCTCACCCAGGCCAGTGGGTGCAGGCAGAGCGGCCCCCTGAGGGTCGCTTCACCAGCTGCCCCTCACCCCCAGCACAAAACTTGCAACAGACTCGCTCCTGGTCCCTCTGGGCCGCTTCCGGCATTCTCCCTCCCCGCTCCCCAGCTGGAACTCCGTCTCTAGGACAACTAAACTTGGCCGGCCCCTCCAGTGCCCTTTCTGTCCCCCTTGTAGTCTGCATCACTGCCCCCGACTCCACACCCTTCGCTGTGGGACTGACTGTCCCCGGCCCTGGACTTACCCTGCGCCTGGACCCTGGTTGTCTGATCTATCGTCCTGGGCTGCAGGCCATAGGCAACGATGGGAGTACTCAGGCTGGCAACCCTAGGAAAGGTTATTTGATGCTGTGAACTCAAGATGGGACTCCCGCCTCCACCTTGCCCTCGGACCCCTGAAGGAAAGACTGTTTCAGAGGCGGGCAGGCTCCGGAGGCGGCCAGTCCACACCCAGGAGGAGCGCGCGCTGGGGCTCCCGCCTGTGCAGCGCCTCGAGGCCGGGCTGCTGCTGAGGGCCCTTGCGACGCCAACCCTCACCGCACAAAACCGAATCGCAGCCCCTCGGGTCACGCAGTTGGTGGAAATCTCCGCAGACCCTTCCTTGTCAGAGTGTGTTCAAAACCGCAAAGCCACCGTTTCCGCCGAGCCCGCGGTCTCTGCAGACTGTCCCAGGGACTCCAAACGGCCTCATTTCCTGGGGTGGACGGGGACCGTCTATGCAGCCGACTCTGCCTTGAGAGCATCCGCCTTCTTTCAATGAGTGTTCTCTTTACTGGACTTTTTAAACATTTATTTTTTAAAATCTTCGTGCAGTAACACGTGCCTAAAACTGTGGGACCCCCACCTCAGGGCAGAGAACAGCCCCAGCCCCCGCATTCCTGGTGCTTCACGGCAAATAGCCCCCCACCTGGCGACCACGGACCTGGTCCCCGGAGCCCGGCTTCTCCCGCCCAGCCCGTCCCCCGGCTGCTGGTGTGGGCTGTGCCGAAGCCCAGAGCTGTGGAGTGACACCGGGGCTCTCAGGTTTTGGTGGTTATGAGCGCTGCTGCTGTGAACCTTCATGTCCAAGTTTTTGCTGTAAACTCAGGTTTTCATTTCTTTATCAATCCCTAGAAGGGGCTGTCCCAAACTGTGTCCCACCAGCCACGGGCGAGGGTTCCGGCCACCCTGCGACTCAAGCCTGGGTGCTGTCAGAGGCTTATTTCCTGTTGTTTTGTTCTTGACTTTCCCTATTCTGTGTGGTGCATGGTGCTAACTCACGGGACTTTAATTTGCATTTTCTGATGACCAGTGGCGTCGGACACCTTTTCCTGGGCTCGTCCGCAACCCTGTTGTTCCCCGGTGACCGCTCCTTTTAGTTGGGTTGTTTGCTTTCTTATTGCTGAGTTTTGAGAGTTCTTTGCACCCGTCCTTGGTCAGGTGGCGTCTTACGGTCCTTCTCTCCCAGTCTGTGACTTGCCTTTCTGATTCCCTAATAGTGTCTTTCAGAGAGCAACGTGTTCCATTTCGATGGAGTCCAATGTATCGATTCCTTCTTTCATTGGTCCTGCTTTCGGTGCTGTGTCCAGGGCCATTCGTCGGACCCCCTCATTTTCTGCTAAGGATTGTGTACACGTTCAGGGGCGTGACCCACGTGAGTTCCCTGCGTGGGGGATGGTGCCCTTTGTTTTCTTTCTGCACGGGATGACCAGATGTCCAGCACCACTTTCTGGAAACAGTGTCCTTTCTCCACCAAAATGCATTTCCACTTTATCAGAGGTTCCAGTTTCTCAGGTGGGGATGGGAGCCCAGGGACAAGTTTGATAGGGTTCCCGTGATGGCCATGTCAAGGCCCAGTTGCATGTCCCCTCCCTGGGCCAGCAGAGGGTTGTCTGACCCTTCATGGCCTCCAGAGATGAGCGACCTGGGGGTTCACCGGCTTCCCGGGCCTCCCACCACGGGTCCGCCTCGAACCTCTGAGTCCCACTACTGGTACTGGGACCAGGATGCCGGAGTGGCTCTCCTATCTTCCCACTCCACTGTCCTCGTGAGCCCGGCCCCTCTGCGCGGGGGCCCTCCTGGCTCTGCATCCAAGCCACGGGCCCCGTGTCCATGAGGCTCTCCCTAAGCTGTCACTGCCGACCTGGAGCCTGGCCCTGATCCTGACCCAGTCGGGGGGGTGTGTGGAGCTGGCACCAGGCCTGTGCACCCCCAGCCACACTGGCCAAGTCCCCAGCGAGCCTCCCTAGACTGTGCCCAGCATGCGCGGTTCATCCCGCTGGTCACTGCTGGGTCCCCCCGGTAACACACAGGCTGTGCTGTCGGTGCTGTGAGCACGGTCTCTCCCCCACCGCCTGACCCACCTGGCTGGGGATCCTGAATGCTGGCCTTTCTCAGGGAGCTGGGGCACCCGGTGGCACCAGCCCACCCCCTTGCCAGCCTGGCTCTTGGTGGAGCCCATCCTTCCCAATGGTCCTGTGTTTCCTCATGATGGGAGGTTTCCTGGAATGTGGGACTTTCACATCACCTCCAAAATTCAAGTAAATGCTTATATTTCAAACTAATTCCCTGGTAAATATTCCTAACAAGAGTTCCTGGCTTTCAAAGGAATGAACTTTTGGGGGATGTTTGTGCCTATTTTTAAAAAACGATTTTATTTATTTATTTATTTGAGAGAGAGGGAGGGAGAGAGAAGGAGCGCGGGGAGAGAGAGAAGCAGACCCCCCCACTGAGTAGGGACTCGATCCCAGGACCCCGGGATTGTGACCTGAGCTGAAGGCAGGTGCTTACCTGACTGAGCCACCCAGGTGCCCCGTTTGTGCCTATTTTAAAATTAAGATCAGGGGTGCCTGGGAGGCTCAGTCATTAAGCATCTGCCTTCAGCTCAGGTCATGGTCCCAGGGTCTTGGGATCGAGCCCCGCATTGGGCTCCCTGCTCGGCGGGAAGCCTGCCTCTTCCTCCCCCACTCCCCCTGCTTGTGTTCCCTCTCTCGCTGTGTCTCTCTCTGTCAGATCAATAAATCAAATCTTCAAAAAAAAATAAATTGATTAAGATCTAATTTCCACTAAAAAAAGGCACAATCCTGAGCATACCTGGGCAACCCCCAGATCAGGGGACTCTCCGGGAAGTATCGCTGTCCTCCACAACTCGCCCCACCTCCAAGTGGCCGTGTCCCCCTTTCCATCACCACCCATCAGTTCTACCCATGCCGGAACTTCCCGTATGAAGTCCTGCCGTGGGTCGCACTGTTCCCACTGCCCAGCACCACGCTTCGGGCACCAGCTGTGCTGTGTGTGCCTGCGGTTCAGCCTCCGAATGGTTCTGTGGTGCTCCACTGTCCAGCCACACCTCGGCTCACGTGTCACCCTGTTCTCGGTGTCCGGCCACAGTGACTTCTCGTGTGTGATCCTTGCGTGGGTAGGAGCACTGGCTTCCAGCGTGTGATGCCCAGGAGCAGGCCTGTAGCATCCCAGGAACCCCCCAGCAACATCTGGGCATCTTGTGGTTCCAACACTGGTTTCAGTGTAATCACTTGGACGGATGTGCAGTGATGCCTTATCATGGTTTAATGTGTAATTTCTTGATAAATAATGAAACGAAGCACTTTTCAGATGGTTTTGAGCCTCCTGAATAACTTTTTTGGTGGCTTAAACCAACACAAATTTATTTTCTTACATCTCTTCAGGTTACAAATCCAGCAAGGGTCTTGCCAGGCCAAGACCAAGGTGTTGATGGGGCTGTGCCCCTTCTGAAGCTCTAGGGAAGAAAATCCGTGTCCTTGCCTTTTCTGGCCTCTGGAGGCTGCCATATTCCTCAGCTCCTGGCCTCCTTTTTTTCCTCCTTTTTGTTTTGTTTTGTTTTAAGACAGAAGAGGTAGGAGGGACAGAGGGGGAGAGTGAGAGAGAGAGAGAGAGAGAGAGAGATGAGAGAGAGAATCCCAAGCAGGTTCCACACTCAGTACAAGCCAATTTGGGACTGGATCTCAAGACCCTGAGACCATGACCTGAGACGAAATCAAGAGTCAACGTCTAACCGACTGAGCCACCCAGGAGCCCCTGGGCCTCCTTTTTCTATCTCCAAAGCCAAGAACAGAGAGTTGAGTCCGCTGATCTCTTCTGCCCCCTCTCCCATTTTTAAGGACACTTGTGATTACATTGGATCCCAGGGAGGAATCAAGGATCGTCTCCCTAACTTAAGGTGGACTGCTCGGCAATCTTAGTTGTACATTCAAGCTAATTCCTGGTTGTCGGGTAACCCTCCCAGGTTCACAGGCTCCGGGGATTCTGGTGTGGATGGCTCTGTGGAGCTGTTCTGTCGGCCACAGATATTTTCACTGAATATAGACTTCATCGCTTTCTTCCTTCCATCCCCTTAAAGATGTCTTTCCACTGTCTCCTGGTTTGCATTGTTTCTGTTGAGAGATATGTTTGAATGCTTATCTTTGTCCTGGGGAGGTAATGGGTCTTTTTTCTCTGTCTGCTTTTAATACTTTCCCTTTGTGTCACTGATTTTTAGCAATTTGACTACGACGTGCTTTAATGTGGTTTTCTTTGTGTTTCTCCTGCTTGGGTTTGTGGAAATTTTTTTTGTCTATAAATTTATAGTTTTTATCTAGTTTTGGGGGAAACTTAGCCATAATTTATTCAAATAATTTTCAGAATTTTTCTCTTCTCTCCTTCTGGAGCTCCGATTATCTTAGACCTCCTGATGTTGTCTCACTGGTTACTGGGGTACACTTCATTCTTTTTTTTTCAGTACTTTAAATCTCTCTCTGCTTCAGTTTCTGTATTTTCTGTTAGTATGTCTTCTGGTTCACTGATCCTTTATTTAGTGTCTGAGATGCTATTATATCCATTCAGTGAATTTTTCATTTTGAATATTGTATTTTTAGTTCTAGAAATTCCATTTGACTTATTTTAATATCCTGAACTTCTCTCTTTGTATTCATATTTTGTTTAAAGTATTCACAGCTCAGAGTGACCTAGGAGCCCCTCGGCCATCTTGGTGGAGACTCACGGTAGTCACGCCCAACTTAGTGTTCAGCCACAGATTCAAAGCCCCTCTCCAGTGTTCTGGAGCTTTTTCTCTGCATAGATCCTTCTTCTCTGGAATTCTGCCCTGAAAATTTTTCTGGCCTTGGTCTTCCCAGACTCTGCTATGTTTCCCTAGCCCAACAGGACTGTTACCTGATCAACTTTTCTCCTTGCACAGGGGTTCAAACAGGCACCAGAGAGCAGAAAGCGCTAACTTGGTGTTTGAGAACCCTTCGATTCTAACTTAATGCCAACCCACTGTATGGGTTAAAGGTTTCATGTCTCTTTGTACCCCAGGAGTACTTCTGCCATGAGAGGGCTGTTCTCCATTTGTCTATGTTCAGATTTGAAAATGCACTTGGGGAAAAGGGGCTGCATGTCCCCCAGGAATTAGCTCATCACTTTCTGGAACTGCACTATTTTGACTTCTTCATCTCCACAGCTCTGCTTGTTTCCCTATTTTTGCCTATTTGCATGTCAGTGTTTTCTGTTGTTATCAGAAGAGGGATGATCAGTCATGATGGTCTACTTTCTAACAGGAAGCAGGACACTTGGCCTACATTTTTAAAGTATCTTGATACAGATTATCTAATTGCTTCCAGGAAGATTGAGCTAGTGTGCATGTGTGTGTGTATGAATCTTACCACGTCCTTGCGAGCCCTGGGTATTATTATCTGTTCTTTGTACTTCTGAACAACAAATCTCATTTTTCCATACACTTGATGGCATTTCTATTCTTCTTTTAGTGCTTTTTATTTACTTTTCATGATCATTATACCTTTATTATTGGTTTATAAGATCTCTATGTGATTGGACATTAATTTTATCTTAAAAACTTTCATGTATTGTACATGAACACATTCTTCTCGAACAATGTTAAAACTCAGAATACATCTTTTTCTTGTACCCTGCTCATTTTTTTCTCTCAGAAGTAACAACTTTTTACTATATGATGTATAACTTTTCTGTTTTAATGCATTCATTTATATATAAATAGATCCAATAAAAAATTGTTGATATTAAGTCACTTTTGTCTTATGAAAATGGCATTTTCATATGCTTCAATCTAATGAATAGTTGAAACTTTTAACTGAGAAGTTTCCATTTCTCTGCCTTTTATATTTTTTAACTGGTGACTTTTCGTTTTTGTTATATGTTGTATACATATGTATATCTCTCTATATATTTCATCAACCCCCCAAATATTTTAAATTTAATCACTTTGTTTTTTAATACATTTATGTTATTTGTTCCTGTTACAAACAATGACAGTTCAATCGTCTTTGGACACATATACAATTACTCCCCTAGGAGACACACTTGCTGGTGAGTATAGTCATGCCATGTTTTTTAAATTTCTATAGCTTTATATGTTTTGTAAAAAATTAAGCTCTTTTGTGTCAAAATTTTTCTGGCAATTGTTTTCTGTTTTCTCACTGAGATAAACTTGAGAATTAGCATGTTGGCTTGGGATTCCATGAGACTTCTAGATTTAAATATGACTAAGAACTAACACCTTCATAATGCTGAGTTTTCTCAACCAGGAGTGGTATGTTTCTTTATTTATTTAGTTCTTTTATATTCATTCATAAGAGTTTGTAGGCATTACACTTTTTAAATCATATCTTCTTAGTTATTTTATTTATTTACTATTGCAAATGGGATCTGCTTTTTCCATTATTTTGCTAATTTTATATTTGTACTTTTCTACATAGTTTTCTAATTTTTTAAAGATTTTCTTAAGATTTATTTATTTATTTCTTTGACAGAGAGAGAGACATCACAAGTAGGCAAGGGGGAAGGCAGAGAGAGAAGAGGAAGCAGGCTCCCTGCTGAGCAGAAAGCCCAATGTAGGGCTCGATCCCAGGACCCTGAGATCATGACCTGAGCTGAAGATGGAGGCTTAACCCACTGAGCTACACAGGCACCCCTAATTTTTTAAAGATTTTATTTATTTATTTGAGAGAGAGAAGAAGAGAGAGCAGGGGGAGGAGAAGAGGACAAGGGACAAGCAGACTGCATTGAGCACAGAGCTCGATGTGGGTCTTGATCCCTTAACCCTGAGATCATGACCTGAGCTGA